AAGCATAGTATCGAGACAGGGCTGTACAATCTGGATTCCTGCAGGATTGGCTTACATTATTCTGTTCGAATTTTTTGACTAGGTTTTTTTTTATAATTTTTTTGTGCGCACTAGCTATTTTTTGATGTGTTTAATTTTTTGTGGCGTCTTTCTTATCTGTACAATGGTGTATATGTCAAATATAATTTAAGACTTGTATACTTCCTATATCTGGGCACCATCAAACTTCTTTGTTTGCAAAGCTGAAAATCCTACTGAAAGATAGATGCATTGAGGCTATTGAGGACATGAAAACAAAATTGTTCCCAGGGCTATGCACTATTCCAAACAAAGAATTTCAATAGTCTTTCAAAAATGGAAGAACTGCTAGGACTGATGTAATATTAGGAGTGGAAGGGATAACTTTAAATATGACAAGATCTAATAACACCTGAATGTTGCTGTTTCTTTTATGTATTAAAATAGTCTAAAAGCTTTTTGGATACACTATAATAAATCACGAAGTTAAAATTATATGAATCTTCACAATAATGTTAATTGATGAATCAAGGCTAAATTTTGTAAAAGTTGTGATCAATTCTGACAGTCTTTCCTTGAAATTTCCATTTCTCTTACAACAACAACAACAACAAAAAAATTTTTTTATCATAAATTTTCCTTTAAGATAAGAATTTATGTCAGCCAAGAGAGCTGTAGTAAATACTTAAATATTTTAACATTTTAAACATGAAATTATAAGGAAACAACAAGATAATTTCTGAACTGATGAATGCGCAACCAGCGTTTTTCAGAGATTTGATATATTTTTCTGATTTAAACAAAGAATACTATATTTTAGGTGCAAAAAACTATTATTATTATTATATAAAATAAATTTGAAGAATATTTTTCTAGAAAAGTATTATATTTAACATATAATATCGTAAATTTGTTTTTACTTGAAGCAAATGGAAAATGAATTAATGAAGTAACAATATGATTTAAAATTAACAAGGTGCTTTTCTTTAATTGGAAATGACTGTGTTTTATGATTATTTTGCTTTGGGAGAAAATAAATACAGTGGAACCTCGGTATACGACCTTAATCCGTTCCTGGTGTTTGGACTTATACCGAATAGGACGTATACCAAACCAACCTTTTCCATAAGAAGTAATGTAAAAATGATTAATCCGTTCTCGTGTAAAAAAATGGCTGGCTTTAAACACCTCGCTTTCCTGGCTAGTTCTTGCTTGATTTTTCGTGAGACCAGCGTGTATCTTTTTAGCTTTCTCGCAAATAATTGCTTTCGATACGCTGTCTCCAGCACTGTTTTTAAGTTATCCAAAGCAAAAGCAATTTCTCGACATGATCTAATGTCTTCGATCTCTGTTTAGAAATTGATTTAACCCCTTTCGCAACGTTAGCA